GGAGATTGAAGAATAAATGAAAGGACAGATGCTTTATGAAGTGTTTCAGTTCAGTGACATTGTGAAACAAACTAGTGCTTTTTTGCAAAAATACTTTTCAGTGGTTGCATGGGAGTAGCAAATGGATATCTATAGCACTGATTCCTGCCATTGCTAAAACAAGACAAAGTGATTCACTTTACAGCTGGCGCTTTTAAGTCATTAATAAATAAACTATTTAATTTTTCTTGGCTTTTGAATACTTCATCAATTAGATTCGCTTTTTGAGTTTTCAAGATTCTCCTTGTTTATATCAGTGACAAACATATTGATTTGGGTTGCTTAAATCTTGACATGTGCTTGGCTCTTTACTCTGAGTATTGACTGTCCATGAAGAAGCCATTTATTGTGGGCTGATTGTTTTTTATCTCTTTTTTTTTTTTTCTTTCACTCTTCTTAAACATATTTTCAAATAACATGCTGGGAATTTCCTGATTTTCATTCCCACTGCACAGTCTTGGGCTTTGCAGTGTAATTCTTGTCATGCTATAGTTTTTGACTAATCACCAGTGATAGGCAACCCGAATATTCATTTTGTGAGCATGACTTCTGATGACAACAATTCCAACAAACTGACAGAGCATTGCAACCTTGGTTTTTGTTTTTCTTTTTACCCCCATGAATGGCAAAGTCTTCAACAGCACTCAGCCTCTATTTGCATCTGTTAGGATTGTGTTCCTGTTAGACCAATTTCTCTTTTCAAGAATTCCCACACTGCAGAAAGTGATACCAATTCCCTTGTGACAGAGCAATGGGAGCTCATCTTCTTCCCTCAAGATGCTTTTTTTTTTTTTCCTGTTAATGAGTATTTATTTGTTCATCTAGAGAGCTTGAATGGATTTTCAAATCACAACTTTGTAAATAACATAATTAAGGTGATTACAGAAGTGACTTTTTGTTTATTTGTGTTAGATTCAATTATATCAATATATAACATTTTTCTATTTAACAAGTTGAACTGCATTATTACTATTAGCTTATTTTCCCTAGCCAACACATATGTTTTGTATTTGATTGAGTGAAACAACTGACTCATTCATCAAACTTTTAATTTACAAATAGGTTTGACAAATACATACAGGCAGATATCATTTGAACATTGATGCAATTATAGAAATACAAGTAAATTAAATATCTATTCTGTGCATAGTAGAAACATACCTAATGGGTCAATGTTTCCCATTAAAGAAGCTCCCATATTTCTTGAAATATTTTACTGGTTAGAGGCATTTTTTTCTCTTGATCAATGAGGAATTATCAGAATTCTTCTTTCAAAGAAAGTTATAATTCTTCATTATGTGTGAGACTATTTTTGCTAAAGATAAAGCTGTCTTTTAAAAAATCGTGCTTTTCTTAATACTTGCTTCTTAGCTCATGGCCCATCAATCTTTAATGATCATCCACATGTATTACATAAAAGGTACCCAAATGAGTTTCCAGCATGTAATCGTATGCTGTGTGTATATATAACACACAATATAAAAGTATAAAATAGAATAGGATCATATCATCTTTTTATATGTGTATTTATAAACCTTACTCACTCAAAGTATCTTCGAAATCGAGCACATGAACAATTTCTCTATTCTATGAGAGTGAATACAGTTATTTTTAAATCCACAAACAGAATGTGTTTGCTCCAGAACATTATGAGTTGTCTTATTTGCTCTGAATTAAATTGAGGTAAATTTACAACTGAAATATTATTTCAGAAAGCTAAAGATTGTGTCTGTAATACGTCAGAGTTGTGTATTTGACTTTAGGGAACAGAAATAATTTAGCAAATATAACACACATTCATAATGTTTTGATCATCCAAATGGTGATGGTTTGGTTTTTTTTATTTTTTTTTCAAGAACAATGTGGACTGAAAATCTTTTTTTATATGATAGGATGTAAGCATTATTTCCTGTGCTGTTTTCCTTAGCTTCACTGTGACAGGCATATTTCTTTATTAGCTTTATTATTTCAGGCTGCATAAAAAGATTTATGCAACTAAGTTGGAGTATTTACATATAAGCAAGTAAAGCAAAATTTCTATTTAAAACTTGAAAAAAAACAAAAAACAACAAAAAAAACCCCACAAAAACACATAAGAAAAGAAAGAGAAAAAAACAAAACCAGTGCTGAACTTGAGGATTTTGGAGCCAGAGGATAAAGTGGCACGTAAAGCTGATTTTGTTCTCAAAGCTATGATTAGAAAATAATCTCTAGCGGATAGCTGGTCCACCATATGTGTATATTGTCTTCCCTGATCTTGAGAACTGCCAAGTCCACGATAAAGCTCACAGTTAATTGCATTCAGCACCATTAGGAAAGAGAAAAAAGCACTTTCTGGTCAGTCCTGAACTCACATATGAATCCTCCTAGAGAATATTTGCACAGAATAATTTATGGTGGGCTGCTGGTATTAACATGGCTCTACAACCTTCCTATTTGTGGAGTTTATGTTTCCATCTATGAGAGCTGTTAACTGGATGACCTTTTCATATATATAGAAGAGTTAGTTGCCAAAAGAATCTGTACCAAGTATTGCCATGCGCACTGTTGTGTTGTTGTGTTTTTTGTTATTTCACCACAAACTGTAAAGATGCTCTGTATTCTTGTCAAGGTAATTCTTTCTGGAATAATAACAGGGGGAGAAAAAAAAAAAAAAGGGAAAGAATGGAAAATATCACTGGGAAAAGAATCACTGTGTTTTCCATAACTTGAAAATCACTCAGGATCCTTGGGATCTCAGATCTGATTTGTTTGCCGAAGGCCATTGTGCAGCATCTCTGGATTTTCTGATACTTAATTTCCATGCACTTGGTAGCATTTATTGCCTGATGAACATATGATGTTTTCTGAAGGGATAATTTTCTATATTTTGGCAGTACGTAGCTGTCTATTCTGATACAGCATCATAACTTGGTATTAATTGACTTAAGATAGATAATTCATCATAATTGAATCATAATAATCTAATAATTCATAATGATACAGTAGTCTACATGGTGTTTCTGTGAGCTTTCTTCTGATAATAAATTCTTTTTGCTCTGCTATTTACTTGAAAGGTTTTACAGAAAATGTTACAAATGAAAGAGTAAATAAATATATTGCTGTTTATTTCTTTTTAAAAAGTCAGTAAGCAAACATGCAGAGTCATTGGCTGAAGTATATGCCTTCTGACCAGCATGAACAAAAGTAGTCAGTTTAAAGAATGGGGCTCTTACATGTCAAGTTCAGCAACTGAGCATACATCAATTGAAAATAGAAATCTGTCTGTCTCTAATCTTTTGCTGTTTTCTTCAGAGATTATTTGATATCTGGTGATGATCTTCATCCTATAGAGTAAGAGCATTACACATTTCAGGGGGAACACAAAGACAGTGTCTTCTGTAGGTAGTATAATTTATTCCTCTGACTAAATGTGTTAACCATATTCCTCAAGAAAAATAAAAAGGGTACCTCTTTAGATACCTCATAAAATTACACTGGAAAGGCAACACTCCGGGTGTTTTGCCAGTTTTTATATTTGATATATAAGAGTTGTTATGCTATTTCTCTCAATCTATCATTTTCTTATGAAGTTCTCATGTCTTTGGTGACCCTACTACTTCCAGATATCTGAAGTAACTACAGAGTTTAACAGATCAGAATTACAAAGATTTTTACAATAATCAACAATATCAACTTACTTACTTGGGCCATGATATGATGATTTAATGGAGCCAAGTTCTGTAGATCTTGTTCACCTCATTAAAGAGTTAGAGATTAACATTAAATCTATTTTGGGATAGAAGTGATAAGGATATGAATAAAATATACAATCTCATTCCTTTGCATACAGTCCTATTCAGTATTCCTATTCATTTAGAACATGGAACTTGCGAGGTAGAAAGGTTGATGCTGCACCTGCTTCCTTAGCCATTGTTTCTTAATCAGATACTCTGGTAAGGTTTCTGTGTAAAGCTGAAGTGCTTTAAGGCATATTTTCTCTTTTTACAAGTTGCTATTGAGAAATCGTTTGAAGAGTTGTTGTTGTTATTACTGTTATGTTATTGTGGGCATCCTGTGAGCCTTTTGTTCTTAGTAACCTCATAGCAGTATGGTTTAGTAACACCAGATGTCTTTATTCTTTGATTGATATATAAACTGAAGAAGTCTACACATAGCAAACATCGAATCTTCTTTTTTTTTATTTTGAGGCCATAAATAGACAATGATAATTACTACTTATCAACATTTCTGAAAAGAATATCCTCAAAATAAAACAGTATGATTGGAGTTGGCTTTGCTTCTGATTTTGCTTTTGGTTTGGTTGTTGTGTTGATGTTGTTTAAAGTTCTGCCAATGTTTTTTTTGTCTAATTATACTGTTTAGTCCTTCAGCATCCAGAGATGTTACTTCCAAGTGACAAGCCAGAGATAGTAACTGCTTAGCTTACTAAAAAAAAAAAAAAAAAAAAAAAAAAGGAAGCTTATTTTTAGGTTAAAACCTTAAATATATGGGTGAATGAGTAAATTTTTATTGATAACACCATCAGTTCTTGCCTTATAGTAATTTTCTTCCATTTCCTTCAATCACCTTCTCCTTTCCTATATTCCCTTCAGATTAAATGAAAGGATAAAATCGTGTAAGTAGCATAAATAAGTCCCTGAAGAACTCTGCTGAAAATGCAGGTCCATGCTTCTCATCATGCTCCCTGACAGTGGTTCTTTCAATTCCTGAGAGGTCTCCCTCCACATGGGAGGCTTCTGATCAAGAGAACTTAGGTACAGCCTTTCATGGCTTCACATGGTTTGATTTTCTCTGCTTGTCTTTATTCACTCTTACTACATTTTCTTGATAATGACATTTTATTTTTCATCTTTTTTTAAAAAAAAAGAGTTCTTGCTAAACAAACCAAACTTTTAACTTCTGTCTTCATAGCATCAGTGTATTACTTGCTCATGATAATTCTTTTTGTTCATCTTCAGGTTACTTAGTCTTCTTGTTCAGCTGCTGCCTGTTCCTGCTTCCCATCCCTAAGGCTTGGTCGTCTGCTTAGCTACCCCTCCTTTGGGATGGTTCCATGTATTGCTGAAATGACAGATGTGCTGTGAGTGAGTGGATGTTCTTATGTTTTCCTTTATTTAAGTTTTCTTCTTCTGAACCAATTGAAGCATGGGAACTAGACAAAAAAATTTAAGTGTCCTCATTTAAAATAGATACAGTTTCTGCTGAATGTCACTGTAATTTCCCCCATTCTATTCTCTGTTTAAATATCTTCCAGTTAAACAAATGGAATTGGTACTTTTGAATTATATCCTTGTGTTCCTTCATGCTTTCTTCACATTTACATCTTTCTACTGATGATTATGAAGCACCACAATTAAGTTCAAGAGTCCCTCAAACACAGCAAATGCTGTGCTGGATGCTTTTACCAGTTTTGTCTTTTGGCAAGCTCAGCTTAACAACTACACGATCCACATTTCGTTTACCAAAACAGGCATTCTCCTTGAATGCTTTCAGGTGATACTTTCACATTGATTCCTCTTACAGAGTTATCTGCATCAGCCAACTGAAGTTTCATCTCTTTCTCCTGGACTTTTTCCTTCTTTCTTCTCTGTGTCTCTTCCTGTGTTTCTTTGACTGTCCCGATTCACTCCATGCACACTGCTTTGTTTTTCTGGATCTTTCAGATGAGTTTTTTTGCTTGGCAGATTAATGAATGCCGATTTATTTTAGCTTTAAACTCAGAGATCCATTACTTGACATCTGCCTTGGTGTACCATGTTGATTTTCTTCATCTCTGGCATCTTTGACCTGCTGGGGTCAAAGACCTTCTTATCCTGCATACCTTAAGTGCCCACCTGAGAGTTTTAAAGGAAGTATTTTTCAGCACTGTGCAGCCATTGTCACTACAACCATCTGTTTATTTTCTTGGATGGGGATTAGCTTGTTTGAGTATTAGGAGGAAAGCGGATCATGACGTTGACTTTTCCGTTCACCTTTCATGTCTGAGGCCTGTGACAGACATCTCGCACTTCTTCCTGTGCTGCATGGACTCATTACCTCTGTGTGTGTAGTGTCAGTGCCGTTTTGCCCTAGAGGTCATCTCGGAGCTTATAGTAATTCAGTGAAATCATTGAGAAACTATGCTAGTCTTTGGAGTAGTCTTTGGAGGAAAATATGGCTTAACTGCTTGCTTTTTTAATCTGATAATCTACCAAAAATTCTTGAAAAGCCATGTGAGAAAATTAATGGCTCTTATGTAGTGAATTATGAGCATGCATGCCAGCTTGGGATAAGAAATGTTGAAAATGTGTAGAAACACTCGTTAAAGACATTTGCATTAAACAAGCGTTTGCTTTATCGGAATCTCTAAGAAGCATTTTAATGCATGTCTCTACCTACAAAGAGTTTTTCACTTTTTACATAATAAACCACAGCAGAAATGTCTTCAGATGTTCATGTTTAGTCTTGTAGGAGGCAAAGATCTGCTATTTGCTAGGACCCATGCAGTGCAATTTACTTTCCTTCAGTTTCTGGACTGTTATTACTTGTTATCTGGTGATGCAGAGCACTGGATTTTGGATTTTATGAATCCTGGTCCTGCATCCTGAGGTCAGAGGGGCCATATTGTCTGCTTTTTCTGTCACCACTGGCTGTCTGTTGGCGGCTGGGTAAAGTGCATATAACTTCACTCTTAACATTTAGCCATGCAATTGACTGCAACAGCCTGTGCAATGTTCTCTGATTACCTGTGGAGTCTCTGTGTCTTTCCTCTGAAGTCAGGAAGAGTGTAGCACTTTGACTTTCTCAAGACCCAGGAGTAGCCATGGAACCTCATCACTCAGAGTTTCAGAAAGGAAAGCTCACACACAGAGGCACACAGAAGCCAGAAACATAGTAAATTGTTCAAATTTTGAAAGGAAGGAGAAATGATTTTACTGTTTTTCATCATGTAATCATCACGTTATCATCATCGCATGATATTCATCATGTGCTTACATATATCAGCAGTAGGTTTGGATGTACTGCTAACCAATAGAAGGCTTTGTAAAGGGAACCATTCTCTTCCTTGTGCTGTGGTTGGTCATCTGCCTGCACCCAGAGATCTGGACTGGTACATGTCCGTGATGATGCCTGCAGAAAAGAAGTGCTTTACCTAATTAGATAAATAATAATGCATTTTATTTCAATCTGGGGATATCAAGGGCAGCTGTAAATGACCTGACAAAGGAAGCACCCTTCTCTCTTCATGATATATATACAGATACCATGTATTTCTTCCTTATTCTGTGAGATTGCCCTCTTGAATTAATTCCGTTTGTATCTCACACAGCTGCGTGACTCCTTGCATGCACATGCACTCCCAGCCCTCCCCCAGACATCTGTTCTGCTTCTCAGCATCAGGTGCCAGAGTCTGAATGTGTTGGGAGGAGGGGTAAATTCTACCAAAAAAAAAGTGAAATGGTCATGATATTTTTGACAATATTTGTAACAGTATTTTTTTTTTACTTCTTTTTTTAAAAAGAACCCGAAAGTTCTTAGCAAAAAATGCAGGTTTAATAGTTTTAATCTGGAAAAGTAGTATTACTTAATCTGGAAAATCTAGTATTAGATGTCAAGGTTGGCAGCCCTGCCTGCGATAGAGGGTTTGGAACTTGATCATTCTTGAGTTCCATTCCAACCCAAGACATTCTGTGATTCCATAAAAAGGTCAGGGCTGGGGAGGGAATGCTACTTTCTGGGAAAAGTATTTTCTGGGAAAAAAAATCCCAATGTGATCATACTAATGTAGCATCACAGAACATAGCAAAAGGCCATTCCAATTGTAAACTTGTATCTAATCTAGTATTATTTTCCCATGTGGGAATACACTTCATTAGAGACGCAACCATACCTTCATCACAACATTTTGGTTGGCAGAACTTCAGTGGTTTAATTCTACTTGAAGAATGTCCACCAAGTGAAACAATCCTGGCATGCCCCGGGGTACCTCAGGTTTCCAGAGATCTCAGATGGTCAGTTTTGCTTCAGTACAGTCCAGGGTAAATTCCAAAATGTATGCTAGTGTAGACTTGCAGAAGTGCGCCTGTGTTTTGCAGGGGCAGAAGCAGAAAGTGTTTGGACATGGTGCATGAGAAGTACAGCCAGGCCGTTCCAGTATACTGTCTTCCATCCAGGCATTTTGCTTCTCTTCCACTTTTCTCTGTGCAGATAGATAATGTATAATGTAAGCGGTACGTGTAAAATTATGGAATAATTGGGATTTATTTCAGTGGCTATGGTCCTGTTTAGAGAGTGAACAATAAGAAATGCAGTGATTCCATGCTGAGTTAGGGAAAATCAGATAAAATTAATCTATGAGAACAGAACTTTTGAGGAATGTGAGTATGGATTCAGACCAACTCCTTGAGAATTGGTCCAGAAATGGCTATTCATTATACCTGTACTCAGGAAGACCATGAATCACTGATTTCTGATGTCTCAACTCTGTCAATGGTGACTCCATACGTACAGTCAAACACTCATTAAGGCTGGAGAAGATCACTAAGATATCTATTCCAATTGCCAACCCATCCCCACTGTGCCCACTAACCACATCCCTTAGTGACACATTCACATGTTTCTTGAACACCTCCAGGGACGGTGACTCCAGCACCTCTCTGGGCAGCCTGTGCCACTGCCTCTCCGCTTTTCATGAGAATTATTTTTTTCTAATATCAGCCTCTCCTGGCGCATCCTGAGGCCATAAGAACACGTTTCTTATGTTCTTTCTTTACACATCTGCTATTCACTTCTCTTACAGTTAATATGCTCAGCTAGACAGACTTTGCTTTAGTCAGTGCTTAATGGCTGTAAAGATGTAGCTTAATTACTTGATGAAACTGTGAGACTTTCTCCTACATTTTCAGGAGAATTCCCAAGCTAGCCAAACCTTTTGGAATTTCTCAAATCCAAAGCTAATAGACAGGATTGCAGTTAATAAGAAAACATTTACTGAAACTGAGTGGCTTGTTTATGAATTGTATGCTCTGTAATACAGGCCTGAAAAGGACAAAATTGAATGGAGAACCTCTAAACCTCTTTTACTGTGGAATTTGTCTGCCCTTGGTAATGTTGCTGTTTGCCCTCGTTATTTGTACTGATAAATGTCCTTGCATGAATAAACTTGTAATGCATCTTGTTTATCTTTCTAAGGCCAACCCTTACAGCTTTCATTAGTATTTTAGGATATTTATGACTTCATAAATGACTTAAAATCTGCAATTTGTCATTAGGAATTAAGACACATCTTCCTTCTACGTAGAGCTGAAGCTTGAACTGTGGCTGTGGAGGGACTGAGCCACCCCTGGGTCTTGGCAGACAAAAACAAAGTGAGACAGTGCCCAGATTTACAGCAGCAAGTGGCTCTTAGTTACTCAGATGTCTTTGATAGCATGTCATCTGCTGTTGCTGGTAGGGATCAGTGTTTAGGATCAGAATTAATTTCTGGCTGGAGAGAAAATAAAAGTCTTTCTCCTGCAAGAGCAAATGGAATTTTAACAGAGACAGAAAGGGAGAGAAATGGACATAGTGCCAGGCAGATGTAAAATTGCTTTTATATACTGCATGTACACACCACAAAAGGTAACAGGAGAAGTGCTGTTAAGAAGACACTGTATTTCCCTTTGTTGTACTCTGTACTTTCAGCCTTGGAACAATGGAAGTTAAGAGAATTTTTAATGTTTCTGAAGGGAATTTATCATGTAATTGGTGAATGGCTGGAGAGAGTTGGTAGGGGAAGGATAATAATCAAAAGAGCCTTTTCAGCAGTCCAGCAAATCAAAGAGAGGAATGTTAATTGGTTTGTATAACATATTATTGGTTCAGAGTAGCTTTGGACACTCAATTGTGCTTTTTTTCCTTCTCTGCAGGTTGATTAAGTGAAGAGAAAAAAAAAAACAAAAAAACACAACGAAGTTGTTTCCAAGTATTGAAGATACAAGGCCAGGATGAACCCGAAGGACTCAAAAGTGTCTGAAGGAGGTCTCAATGTCACACTTACCATACGCCTTCTCATGCACGGCAAGGTGAAGCATTTCCTGTGGCCACAGCATTTGCCTGTTTGTTGAACGTGTGTGTGCCATCAGAAGCTGGCAGTGATACTGGCAGAGCTCTGCCTCTCCTCTTGTAGTTAGAGTCAAAAGCGCCATTACTGTGACTCAAAAATCAGCCCCTTTACTTCAAGTTGTTATATGTAAGAATGCTCTGCAGCCCTGTTTTGGGGACAGAACAGGTCAGGGTTCAAGGTCAAGTAGGATGGGGCTCTGAGTACCCTGATCTAGCAGTGGATAGCCCTGTTCACTGCAGAGGAGTTGAACCAGATGACCTTTAAAGATCCCTTCCAATTCAAAAGATTCCATGATTTTAAGCTCATGGGAAAAAAGGCTTGCTTATCACAAACCTGTTTTGAGCAGTTCTGGTAGCAAAAATCCATAGTTCTTCTATGGATGTTTAGCCAAACTAGACAAATCTTTGCATGAGGGTGACCTGCATACAGCTCGTCTTTCTCGTCATTTGCTGGACTTCACAGGTTGTTTTTTTGTTTTTTGCTGTGTTATCACAGCATTGATTTGAGTGAAGTAATTGTCACAGAATTACTGAATATTCCTGTTGAATTCAAATGGAATAGCTCTTTGTTATTCTCATGTAGCATCTTATTAGAGTGAACCCTCGATATAACAAGCCTTTGTCCAGATTCCCTGAGGGTTTGTTTTGGAAGGTTGACTATAATCTCATTTCTGTACATCACAGCACTTAAACACACAGATAAGTGTGAAATCTGTGCCATAGACAAAGTGCCAATTCAGTATTGTCAGACTTAACAGTCTGATAGCTGTTTATTGCACGTTATCAGATCACAAAATGAGCTTTTAATTAAAAAACACATTTCACTGGTTTGTTATTATCATTTCCATCAGCCACACCAAGCATTTTTGGTTTAAGGAATGAATGCCGTATAAATCAGGCAGTTTCGGCTCTTTATTAACAAGGGATAGTGAATGTATGTATGTACTATTCTGCAGATCAAATTTATATGTGTAATTCTAAAATCTAGTTTTACTCCAGGAATTTAATTTAAAAGCTAAAAATATATTTACATTTTGAAAGCATGTTTCCAACCCATTCCATGAACCCACATAAATAGGACATTAAGGTATCTCCTTAAGTATTTTACTCATGGAAATGATAGGAAATATGAGGGGGAACAGTTTAAGTTTTCAAATTAAAAGCAAACAAAAAAAACCCCACAGAATTATAGTATTACAGATCAAGTTATGTATTTTCTCTGAAATGGGGCAACCATTTTGGTTGATATTTTTCCCCAAAAATTCTCAGCTCCAGGCAGGCATCCGGTATGTAAAATCTGCATCTTAAACAAGGATCTGTCAAACAAATTTAATAACATTCTTTTACTGAGCCCACCGAAAACCATGTCCATGTCTGCACTCAAAATAAGGGTCAGTTGCACTGTGTTCTGGTTCCCAAGTCAGAAAGGCATGGGAACACATCCATATTCTGATTGGCATAACCTACTGGCTTCAGCCATACTACTATATGCTTAGAAGTTCTTTTTATTTGTCACTGCCAAACTGCTCTGCTTCTTTCAGAGTCCTGCCATTAAAGCAAAAATCAAGTATCTGTCATTTTTCAGAATGATTTAGTTAAGATGTGGGCTGGAGTTTTGTTATTTTGTGGTTTGGTGGTATTGTTTTCTATTCATGAAACAATGGATACATTAATGAGAAAGAAATTAGAGCTAATTTTCTGTGTTAAATATAGTTTATTGTGTATGCAGTCACTTTTAACAGCATTGGATGTTGTGTGTCCAATATTCAGTGCATGTTTAGCCCCAGGGGTTTAAATTAAACCCATAAAAGCTCTGAAATTCAAAGCCTAAGTGGGAGTATACCATGCATCCTCAGCTAACAAGGCACAATGGGTATACCATTAACTCCAGTATGCTCTAATCATGTGTCCAATTGTACCTAAAAATTGCAAAGAGCACACTAAATTAGGATTTATTTTGGTGATAAAAGACAAAACCTTATGGTTCCTGTGATATCATTTCCGTGATTTAAAAATGCTGATATTGAGGAATGAAGGATCTTTGATTTAATCTGAATTCAATATGAGAAGGTTGCTCTGAAAGCTGTATTTGCTTCTGAAAAACAAGAAGAAACATGCTGCTTTGCTCTTCCTTAAGACTTTTTGTGGTAATGACGCTGTTGGAAATCGCTGATCTCTAATTAGTATTTCTAGACAAAATAATTAACTGAGACTGAGCTTGAGCTGTAAATAACTGGTCATAACTCCAGAGAGAGGGGAATTAAATGGGTGGTTTTAAAAATAACAGTGGCAAACTGCAAAAATTCAAGGAAAGATAATTCTAAAATCAGTGGTTTTTTCATGCATTTCATGGAAATACCAAGCTCTCTCCCCACTAACTTTGATTCTGTCTCTAAATCTCTGGTACTTGTGAACTTTCACATGGTGAAAGGTCTGTGTGCTTTATGGCACCTACATTCCTTATCATGGAAAGTTCATAACTTGCACTCCTATGCTCAGTTATCTCAACTATAAACCCTGCAGAATTAGGAAATTTTCTGGTGTACTTTCCAGGTGATTTGTACGTGAGCATTGTAGTCAAGTACGGACGTCTTAATTATGTAGTTAAGGTAAGTTCTGTCACAGTAGTGCACCTGCAGACAGAAAAATCGGGATTTATATGAATGGACAGGCCTCTATAAGGAGGTACTGAATGAAAGAGTCAGCGTGTTTAGAAACAAACAGTGAAGCCGGAAAAATCAAAAAGAACTTAAATATCTAACAAAAGGAAATCAGGCAGGAGCCATCTTGACCCTGGGATAAGTGTTTCTAGGGCCTAATATGAGCGGTTTCCATCTCAGCCAGAACTACAGGAAGTGTGTGCTAGTGTAAGGTGAAAGGTGTAATTTCCATCCTGTGCTGTGTTATCTCAGGAACAAAGACTAGAGTGGGTCAGCCTTGGAGAGAAACCAGTAGCAACAAAACATTTCTCAGGCTTTCTCACAGTGTAGTAGAGGAGGGCTTTTTAGAGAATATGACACATGAGAAGTTGATCTTCACATCTGCAGATAAGCAGTTGTCTTTGTTTGAAGGGAGTTTGGAGAGAAACGTTAGGAAGAATATATTTGGATGCATGAAGAGGGGAGCAGGCTCTCTGGACCTGCTGCAGTAGCCTTCAAAAGAAACTTTTAAGGACAGTATAGACAAAAATGAATAAAGCTGCAATGGCACTGCATCCTCTGCTGCTCAAGACATTGTTGACTGAGGTACCTGAATGCAGGAACTGTGGAAACTTTTGAAGTATGTGCAGGAACTACACATGTAGAGTATGTTAAATAATGCAGAGACGCGTTTTCATCTCTTATTAATGACAAAGATGTACCACATTAAGGGCTAAAAATGTTTCATATATTTCAGTAGAGAAGAATGGTGAATATGGGCTGGGGCTGTTTACATTGTGCTACTTCTGCATTTTCCGTCTAATTCCTACTGTTTCTTGAAGTTAAACAAGTAATGTCAATCTGTAGGGCAGAAACTTGAGTGGGTATGAATGTTTTATCACCTCTGTTGGCATTAGAAGTAGAATTTCCGGAGAGGGTTAAAATACTGGAGTGACTGTTAGACTTCTGATTTCAGCAAAAGCAAAAATGGCACCATTTACTAGGATCAGGTCAACGTTTTTGAAGGGCTTTCTGGATCACAGATTGTGAGCATGTGCATTCATGTGCAAACAGTCCCCAGCTGTGAGAGCCCTCTGTAAGGAGAAGCAGAGCTCAGACTCCAAAAGAAAAGCTTCACTTTTTCTTTCTTCATTATTTTTGTCAAAATTGAACTTCTTTTAACTCTCTGCATGCTATTGGTTCTTTGAGAGAGCTTTCTTTGTCTCTTATCGTTCCTTGCTCACCTTTTACATACATTTTTTCTCCATTCTGTGACTTGCAATTGCTTGATTTTCTTTCTTACCAGTAATAATGAGACTGGAAGATTATGGAATATTTTTGCTTGCCCACAGATCTCTACCTACTTACCTAACCTTTGTAGCACTCTTGTTCTAGTTTTGGTCAGTTCATGCCCGGAATGAAATAACTCAGAAGAAGCACTTACTTTGATGGTACTGGATAATAATTACATTATTTGGGTGGGGTTTTTTAAATTTTTTTCTGGTTTACATTTGTACACAACCAATATTGACCAGCTGATTATGACCCTGACTTACCATTAGAACTTAAATTTAGATGTAGATGGTAAAGAGGCTGTGCTGGTAAAGAAGTGTTACATTTCAGGAAAGAATCTTCATGGAGATTTAAATGTTGGATGCATGAGCTGGAACGTAAGAATATACTCAAATGTGCCAGCATGAAAAGGGCAGCAAGATCATGAACTGATTTCGATTTACATATCATAGTGGTGGCACAGGAGTCTCTGTTTCCTCCCTTGAATACAAACCTGCAGAAGAAAAGGTACATGATTTCCATTGGCATTGTGCTAAGATATGTGGCTACAAAACTATAATGGGTGCTGTGAAGCCCTCAAGAAAGCAAATTGGAATATGTTGAGTTTGGGAAAGGTTTTAGAGAAAAGAGAAAGCTCAGAAATAGAAAACAACCTGTATTAATGAAGTCAGATGGGTTATGAAGAGTAAGGAAATAATGTATAGACAGGATAAAGAAGGAAAGATAGAACTGGGAGGGAAGTAGGACTCTTGCCAGATACTGAGAGGTGTAAATGGAAGAGATGAGGCAACAAAGGGGAGAAGATAATTTAGAAGATACATGTTCAGTGAGAGGGGGAAATCTGGAAAGCATAAGCTTTGTTCAGACATTCTCAGAAATACTCGGAGAGAATAAATACAAGTAATGGAGTATTTTGAATGATGCAAGTACTTCTGGCTGGGAATAATGAGATATATTTCTGAAAGCAAATCACAGTAAGGGAATTAAAATAGAAATTTGTGGCATTGAGGTTTTTTTATAAGGTTCTG